CGAGAACAGAGCCTCAGGACAGTCCTGCTGGCCATGCTAACGCAGAGTAAGTCCTTTAAGATGCCAGCTCCCATTGACGAGGAACAAGCAATCCCAGTCAGGAGCCACCTCAGGCCCTCAGCCTGCTGAGTCATGTGTAAACACTGGGTTTCCTGCCCGTCGAGGCTGCTGTTTGGCTCCTTTCAGATGGGCCTGCGTGTTCCCCGCGGCGACGTGGCAGCAACAAGGAAGCTTATGTAACGTCCGAAGACGCCGCTCCACGCCACGGCTCGTTTTAGCCCAGGTATGAATAGGAGGCGGGGGTGAATTCACAAACACTGCTTTCACAGGCCCTCGAAAATATCACTTTTCATTCCCTGAGGTCGAAATGGCCTCAACCATGGAAGCAATTATAGCTCACAGCTCTAATTGAGAGTTAGCTCTGGTTGACTCGAAACTCACACAGGAGGATAATTCACTCATCTTATTGGAACACGGGAGTAAATAACTTCATAAAGCTCATTTAGTTTCAGCAGTCCTGGAAAGTATGATGAATCCAAACAAATCAGCAGTTGATAATTTAATAATACGACAGCAATAATTGTCTACCGTTTATTGGTCGCCAAGTGAAATGCTCAAGTACCAGCTGATGTTTATAAATATTCCCTGCTTAACCCTTACAGCAAGGGTTTTCCTTACATGAGGAAATCAGTGCAGAAAGGATGGGTGGTTTTCCTGAAATCTCTCAGAACTAGAGGAAGAGAAATTCAGACTCCTATCTTAACGATGCCACCTCAGCCACAGTGAAATTATCTTAGTGAAATGATGGGAAGACTCAAGTCTGTAAACTTTTAGCTTCCAATCAAATGAAGAAATCCTGGGTAAATGGAGAGGGAGAGGGAGGGGGAGGGGGAGAGGAGATGGATATGGTATGTCGCACATTGAGATTTTGCTTGTGATAGGCTACTGGGTAGATGATTTCAATGACGTATAGCTTTATTATGTCAGTGTCTTCAAGACGGGTATTTGTCAGAATGTTCTGACTTTGAAGGTTGGGAAACACATGCATGTGTATCAGGACCTTGGTAAGTAATAAACAAAACGGTGGCTACTGCACACAAGTGCACTTTGCAGAGGCTGGGAGCCCTGTCCCAAATTGTCTACATCACTCATTCCCCGCCAATGGCAATGAACCTTATGATATGAAGGGAGCTCCCAAGTGAAAGGATGGCCCTTGTTTGAAATTTCCACTGTATTTTATACATGTATATAGTGCCTCCAACATGACAAGATAATGAAAATGAAAAAGGCAGAAGTGAAATAGCAAAAATAAAGTAAAACTCAAAGAAATCATTGTATAGAGGAGGTAACCCATTGGTAAGAAGTAGTGTTAAAGATTTGGGACCTAAACTTGGGTCTCCTAATTTCTAGACCAGTATTTTCTTAATAACAGTACATCGTTATGAAGCAGAATAATAAATAAACTTGAAATTACAGTAAAAAGTGATCTATAAATAGATAATTAATTATGGGCTTTCTCTGTGCAAATTGATTTGGTATTTAAACTATTTAAACACACAACAAAGTAAAAATATAATTTGTCTCTTAAACTACTAACATAGTTATGTTTATTATGTCCCAAATGGGTTGTCAAACATCCCTAAATAGTGATTTTGTGAATAACTCCAAAATAAAGGCTAAAATTGTTCTCAAGTGGGAAATAATGTGTACAACTGGTCAGAGTTTAACCATTGCAATAAAAGATGTTTTCACTTAATTTCCTGGACATTTCAGATGTTTGTTTAGCTTTTATTAACTGGAAAATTCCTCAACTCATCGTGCACTTACTGACATATTCTATTAGGAAAATGTTTGTTTTTCAAGTAAATAATCCAAGACATAAAAGTCAGCCGGTGTTTCACAATATTAACTTAAGAGTAAAAGAAGCATTTCATCAATGAAACGTTTTAAAAGTGCTTATGTAGCTTCCAATGAAATTCTTATTTAAAGATGCTCCTCTATACAGTGAGAAGCTTCCTATATCAGATCTTCTTTGAAAGCTTTTGCCAGATTTCTATTAACACTAATGTATGCAAATAATATATTTTAAAAGACTTATATTGTATAAGATATACTTGTGAGTATTACTAAAAATATGCAGCATACTAACACTTTATCTTTTCAATGTTTCATTATTGGAAACTAATTTTAAAACTGGCAATCTGGGTATTTCCATATGTTTTAAATATTAATAAAATAATCATATAGAATGAGCCCTTTTTAGAAGACACAGCATAGAATTTTGACAACATATGGAAGCTGAACATATTTTTAAGGCAGAAGTCATGTTAACATTTAGATCATGAAGAATCTTGTTGTCTACAACAGCTACTGATATAACCCCAAAATGTTAGCTCATCCTTATGGAAAGAAAAACATATAGTTACCCTAATCATGACTGCCTCTTTAACTTACACACACACATTTCCGAGATCATTCCAAGTTGCCAAAGTTCATCACATAAAATCCAAGTAGGACAAATAATGCTAATTATGGTATTGCCCAAGCACTGTGTGAAATCTATGCAAATCTGGAAAATGACAGACAAAGCCAAGTTTACCTCCATATACTCCCAAACCCTTCAGCACAAATCTACCATTTGTAAGTTTCGTTACTTACCCAGAAGCATGTTTCTTAGCAATAGTCAATTCAGCCAGTCTGTAATTTCTGTATAACAAAGGTATCAAGAGCTGAGAAGTACTTTAACCTGTCACCCGTCTTATTACAGAAAGAGTGGGAGCCTTCACAAGCTCTTCCTTGTATCCTAAGCCTGCTGGAGGGCTGGACCAACTCCACTCCCTCACTGTGTACCTCTGTTGAAACTAACAAACAATACAGTGACTGTCAGTAGACACTGCCTCCTCAGCTTACAGAGCCAAAAAAAATTATGGAAAAGTAGGTTACTTCGCTGGAGTTGGAGATGTAAATTCTGAGTTGATCATGCTGTTTCATTAAAATTCCAAGTACTATTTTCTACTAAATTCACAAAGAAATTTTTTTTTAACTTATGCAAATAATTTCATAAAATCATATTTAAAGAATGTAACTACCCTCTTTCCCCAATGTTTTCTCTCTAACAATTTAAAACACATTTTGCTATTAACTAGCATATAAAGAGGTGTGGGGTATGTATCTGTTATAAGTGAAGCAGATGTTCAATATTGGAGAAATGACAGCACTTCCAGATTTTCTTGGAAAGCAGCATTCTATTGCGTTGCAGGATAGAATAGTAACCATAAGTAGAAGTTGTGGTACATGTGAAAGTTCTGCCTATCACATGCCCAGTCATGCAACTGAAGGCAGAAGAAATTGCTAAATCCCTCTAAATAGAAATTTCAAAGGGATGACTTGCTGGTGTGAATAATTCACAGGTCTAAAAGGACTCTAAGGGTCTGTGCCATTGTTTACTGAGAGTGTTTTCTCTTTCTTAGTGACACATAAAGTAATGATGTGACTTACAGTAACAAAAAATCTTAGATTTGACAAAATATGATGTTATTGGGAAATAAAACAATCATTCTTAGTAGCAGCTATTTAAAAATTGATGATCAGTGTGTTGATTTAAAACAGGGTGTTTTTGTTGTTGTTCAAAGTGTGCTGTGAAAACTATGTAAAGAATCGCTGGGATGCCTGCTACAAATGCAGGTATCTGGGACTGCCAGTGAGCTATTGAATGAATATCTTTGGTTTGAGACCACTGACCATTTCACCTTCAAGTAAATAGCAATTTAATAAGAATAGCACCACTGGAGGACTCCTAAATGTTAATTGTAATTAATATATATCTGAAAAAACTACAGTTGATTCCAAATCAATTACAATAAACCTTTGGTATTGCCTAAATAATGTAAAATTATACAAGGGCAATTCTATGACAGTTGATTCCAACAGGAAGTTTTAAAAATCAAGCTGCATAAATATTCCAGTGTAGCTTTGTGAAGGAACAGGAGAAAAAGCAGAGGGCAGAGGGCAGCAGTGGATGCGCATCTCACCAGGCCCAAGGCAAGTAGCACTTGACAGGAAAGCAGGGTGCTGGGAAGGCCAAGTACATGGAAGCATCACATCTCCACGTACGACTCCAGCTTCAGCCCACTACTGACGGGATTCCCTGCATCTGGAAGAAGCGATGCCGGAAGACCAAGATACAACCACCGACTGGAAAGTCACCCTGCATCACTGAGCTTGTTTTCTCAGTGACAGTGTCGATTTCTATGCCCATTCCACCTCTAAATGCATGTAAGTTTAAAAACTTTTATGAAAGTAATAGGGTGTGGCTTCTTTCAAAGTTTTATTAAGATAAACCTCGTGAAAGCAAATGATTGATTAATCAAAGAAAAAGAGCATCTGTTATGGTTTGGATTGTGTCCCCCAAAATTCAGTTGAAGTCCCAACCTCTAGTATCTCAGAATATGACCGTATATGAATACAGACTCCTTACAGAGGCACTGAAGTTAAAATGAGGTCATTATGGGTGGTCTTAATCCAAAATGACTGATGTCTTTATAAAAACAAAGACACTGGATACATATAAGGTGGCAAGGGAAGACAATGTGAAGAGACACGAGGAGAAGTTGCCTATCTATAAGTTAAGAAGAGACGTCTGAACGGATCCTCTCTTCAGACCCCTCGAAAGGAGCCAACCCAGCCAACACCTTGATTTTGGGCATCTAGCTTCCAGAACTGGGAGACAATAAATTTCTGTGAGGCCACCCAGTTTGTGGTACTTTGTAATGGAGGCCCTAGCAAACTAGTACAGCATCTCTACTAGGTGCTATAAGCATAGGCTAACTTCATACAAGAGCTGACCACCACGCACTCTTTCTCTAAGAAGTTTGAATAGCAGTAAGAAGAGCTATTTTTTGAAGGTAATTTAGAACTCAGATGTTTTATATTTGTACTTTCTTTAATTTTTCCTTAGTCAAGTTGGTCATGCATTTGTCTATTTAAGTAGATCCCCCGCCTCCAAGAACTTGCTGTTGGTTTTTGTCATCCTGCTGTATTTTTTCTTGTGTTTTCTACTCTACTAATGCTTTTTTACCTTTATTAACACCTACTTCCTGGCTTCTTTTAATTAATTTGATACATTTTTTTTCTAGTTTTTAGGATGCATACATGGCTCATTTATTTTTCATTTTTAAAAAATATTAAAACCATTTAAGAGCACAGTTTTTAAAAGTTTTTCCTTCTATTAACTTTTAGGTAATGTATCATTTTAGTTTTGATTTTCCTCTTTCCTCCTTACTTGATGGTTGAAAGAACTGAGAAATAAAAATAACAAGATATCTTTTGTTCTGCCTTCAGCATTAATTTAGTTTGCTACAAATTTAGTATTGTTTTAACTATTTTTGATCAATTAACTATACATAAACTAATTAGGGTACTCCAGGGGACATCAGAATTGCTTAACTTTGGAGTTTTAACTTTCCAATTCTTTTGGTGTATTATTAATCATCTTTCAATCCTCTATATGTTTATAATTTTATGGCAAAATGGCAATCATTTACCTACTAGCACAGTTTTAATCAATGACTTTCATTCAAGGAGAGAAATTATTTTAAAAATCTACCTCTTGAAGTAATCTGTCATTATCATTTAAAAGCATTAACACTTAAGAGCAGGAGTTGGTTATATGTCAGATACTCTTTGAGGTGTTTTACATTCAATTCTCATAACAACCACTGCACAGATGAAGACATTGATACTAAGAAAATAAGCAAATTAGTCAAGGTCACAAATCTTCCAAACTCCCTCCTTATAAAAACCAGTGAATTGAGACAGCAGGCATTTCCAGAGAATGTAAAATATTTCATATATGTTTTTCGAATTGAAAACATAAATCATTTTTAAGTAAAAGGAAATTTGTTCCTAAAAATCAAGTGGTCCTTTGTTTCTTTCTCTCTTTTTTTTCCTTTCAAGGGAGATTAAAAAAAATTTTTTTTTCTTTTAAGGTACAATGAAAGTACTTGAGAGTAATTCATTTTATTTTGAACTATATCTTTATCTCAGACTTTTCTCTCATGCCAAGTATTAACTTCTAGCAGCACATCTTCTATGTTAATTCAAGAATCCTCATATTTAGTGTCTAAAATATATGCAAAATTATTTAGTTACATTCATTTTTAATACTTAGTGCCTAGTTTTTACTTAAGACCCCCTAAAGGCATTAACTTTTATTATTTCTGGTAAAATTATGCTTAACTGAGGAAAAATTGTAGCTTAATCAGCTTTTCAATTTTCTACGAGCACAGTGCTCTGTAGATGAAAGATAATTACCATTAACTAGGCTGCCACTTACTTGAATAGAGTGAATATTTAGGGAGTTATATAAGTTCTGAGTTTGAGATCCACATGGACCCAGAAAAGAGAAAGAATAAAAAGAATTAAAATTGTTGTATGAGTGAAGATATTTATAATATACTAAATGCTCAATAGCATAGGAATGGGTGTGTCGATATTATGAAATATTATAAAATATATTTAGTGACACAGGCAAATGTTCTCTATATAAACAGTAGGGGAAACTATGTCGAACTGGATATACAATAGAGGCCATATATGTAAAGAAGCCCATTCTATACCTATGTGAATGTTTGTATATGTGCATATCTACAGATACATGTTTGGAAGAAAATGCTGCAAAACTGCAGATTTATAGAAAATTTTACATTATTCTTTATTCTTTTCTTTACTGTTACTTTTTTTCTTTTAAAAAAAGGATATTTTTTTCCATTGCTTTTCAGAGAGAGTGGTAGGGAGAAAGGAGAGAGAGAGAGAGAGAGAGAGAGAGAGAAACATCCGTGTGAGAGAGACACATCAATTGGTTACCTCCTGCATGTGTCCCAGCTGGGGCCCAGGCTCAAGTCTGTAACAGAAGTATGTGTCCTTGACTGGAATCGAACCCGAGACCCTTCAGTCCCTTGGCCAACGCTCTAACCACTGAGTCAAACCGGGTACGGCTACTGTTACTTTTTTTTGTACTAAAATAAAAAACATACTTCAGTTTAAAATTTGCAGTGGGAGAGATTTGGCTATTTAAAATAAAATTTATAAAATTTACAAAAACCTGAGGTAGAAGTAGTTAATTTTGATAATCTCACTTAAAAACCTTAGTAGGCAAATGTTGAGAATTAGTCAAGTTCTCATTTCTTTTGGGCGCTAGTGATCCTCCCTCTTATTGGCCTGGAATAAAATTATAGACCTGAGCAAGTATGTGGAGTAAACAAAGGCAGGAGACTCATTGATCACTGTCGCCAGTGCAGGTGTACAGTAACTAGTGTGAAATATATGCACCCTATGTTCATAGCAGCACAATTTACAATAGCTAAGACCTGGAAACAGCCCAAGTGCCCATCAGTAGATGAGTGGATGAAAAATTTGTGGGACATTTACACCATGGAATACTACGCAGCTGTAAAGAAGAAGGATCTCGTACCCTTTGGGACAGTATGGAAGGACATGGAGAATATTATGCTAAGTGAAATAAGCCAGGCAGAGAAAGACAAACATCACATGATCTCACTTACATGTGGAATCTAAAAAACATAATACACTGATGAACAGAATAGATTCAATGACATTGAAGCATGGATCAGACTGACGTATCTCAGAGGGAAGGTGGGGGTGGGTGGGGAGAGATTAACCAAAGAATTTATATGCATATATTCCCTTCACCTGTAGTACATATGAGCA